TCAAAGACTATCTACACTGTTAGTCCTTGATATGTTACATTGATTTGTGTTGGCTCCGGGGCCCTTTGAAAACTACCTTTGCGGCAATGTGTGCATCCTGATCAAATAACAATAAATAAATAGAGTAAAAAACCTGGTGATTGAATTTTCCTTCACAAGATATTCTTAAAACGCGGTGTGTTATTGTCCTTCCTGGGTCATATCAGGAAAAAAACATAATCCAAAAAATCAGGAGGCATTCCACGTACGCTCCATAAATTTCCTCTGAATGGGCTGTGGGCATCATTACTTCCCGTGCCTGACAGCGGTGCCGAAAGTCATGGGAAGGAGATTGATTGATGGTGGCATCCAGCCTTTATCCCCACCTTAGATTTCTGCTCAGATACCTCCCAGGGACGGCATTAGGGGAAATGAAGTCGCGGATTCACCACATCCTATGGTGTAAATTTAAACGTATACATGTACCATTTCATAATCACATTCCAATAGCTGAGCTACATGTACGTGCAATATGGTCAGTGCCTTGGTCTGTGTCTTTTGTAAAAATTGCACCCCAAAAATTGTTGTGAAAATTTTTTTTTTCTAAAATCAATAACTGCCCTGCCTCTATTTTGGGTCAATTGCAGGTACCTACATTTGTATCTCTATATATATTTGTACAATGGATAGAGCAAAACACACAGAAAACTGTATCATTAGTATATTTATCTCCCAGAATTTTGGCCATTCTGAAATGTCCTTAGTAACCCAGAATGAGCCAAACCAATTCATGATATGCCAATGCAAAAATGCTTCATTTAAAATTTAATGGCAATGTGCTTTAGCTTCATTATGTAATGGCAGATATATATATATACATGAGACCTACGCTTGACCCTAAAGACAAAAGTTTAAATTCTTTGACATCTTTAAAGATCACAGGCCAAAGAAAACATGAATAAAAAGCTTACTTGCTTGATCAACATAGATAATCCATCCTTTTTATTTTAAAAAGAACCCAATAAGTCTACTAATATTAAACAACAGAAATCTCAACACATTGCTTTATCTAGATTCAAGAATCACAGAAAAGACGACGTGTTTCCCTATTGCATAACAATATTTGATACATGTGATAATCATTCATGCGGCCGGTATAACGTACCCATGTACGTCTAATATAATACATTACCCACACTTCACCACACCCTTGACAGTATAAAATACATGACGTGCTGCCCACTACACCATGCCTGCGTTGCCAGAATGATAACCTTGATATTGTTTGATTCCTGTAAGCCAAATTGGTCCAGGAGACACTGCCCTTTGTACAAAGTACACAACGGCCTCGGGGAGGTTCATAAGGCTGTAAAATTCATGGTAAAGGTCACAGCAGGAAGAAGCGAGAAAAACATCTCCAACCAACCTGTTCCGCGAGCGAGAAAACCGGGAGAACGACGGAGTACTGAAGCTGCAATGTCTGAGCGACATAATGACTGCCGACACCACAACACCGCCGTACAGCGTAACCGACCCCCGGAGCTACTCGGTGGCAGCCGGAATCGATGAAACCCATCTGTCCGCCACACCAGTCGAATACGCTTCGTCCTCGGCTGATCAATAATAGATATTAACAACTCGCCTCAGGGTTGGCCATTAGATCAGTCCTAATATCCAAGACTGGAGGCCGGCCGGTCCACTCCGATTAACTACATCTGGCAAACACACACAACTTGGCAGTGATGAATACCAGACGGAGACAGTCAGTGCTATGGCAACAAACTAGGGTTGACGTTATGTTAATGTGGCGGCACAAGTACTGTGTCAACTTTCTTTCTCTTTAGCCTACACTTGCCAATCTTTTTTTGTCCGACCGCTAAAGTGATATATATTTGAGCTGGCAGTTCAATTATTAACCAAGAGGTCCAAATAGCCTCTTTATATGAACGCTAACCACCGGAGTCATCAGTCAAGTTGCAAAGTAATGATCAAATTTCCTATCTGGTACAAAAGTCCTTCTGCAAACATGATGTATGTATGCAGTGCAAACTGTTTGCTGGTACCAGAACTTTGACTCATGCTTATATAGGTATAGCTTCAATACCTTTAAGTAAACATAAACAGGATTATATAAGCAAGACCTTGAATTTTCTATCAGGTACACCAGCCCCCTAGCAAGTCAGCCTAAAATGCAGTCTTACTTAAAGGACGCTGGTTATTATAATAACTCTGTATCTACAATGTAGCTATAGGATGACAGTCCTGTGGCCAGTAAAACAGAATGAGCAAACAGATGTCATTGTCCCAAAGCTACGAATGACACATCAAAACCTAATATATATAAGTTATACATGTAGTAGTGTCTTCAACCAGCCCTCAGAATCCACTACATGTACTAGTGTGCCACAGATCTTCCCTCTTTCCTCTCATTCAAGCTCAGAGTAAATTCAGTAATACAGATTTAGCATAATGGTTAAACACAACGTAGAAAAAGGGTTCACATGACATAGGCACAGAATATTTATGCACATGTACCTGTGTACATGTACAGTTACTAATCACCACATCTATTAATCCCACTACCTGAGACCATTAGAGGAGTGAGAATCATGGAAGATAACACTTCAAACAACTTCTATTGCTCTGGTTGCCTCATTAGTAGGGTCTATTACGTAGATCTTCGGCTTGTTAGGTGGAGAGCATGCATGTAAGGACAATATAGCTTGCAACTGCATCATTTCTATAGTCCTCATGACGGAGATGTTACTAAGGCCAGGCCAACCTATTTCATTGGTTCTTAGAAATCTAGCAAGAGTTTGATAAGAGAACAATGGGCGGTGAGAACAACTTGCATCTGATGACTACATTCCTCGTCGCTTCAGATCGAAACTTCGGTCCAGGAATATTGCTTTAAATCCGAGAACCCATGAATGTAACTGGTAGCCTTTAAGAAGACTGCAGCTAACAACTGCCTGGACTTGCCTTCAATGTTAACTACCTTTTGAACATCCTTTATACTAGTCAAAATGTAACTATCTTATAGGCAATGCAAGGTGACCTTGTGAAATCAAAATATGTGCAGTGTCGCACATTCTGTTCCCTGACTGGAAAGCCTGTTGTTGTGGGTTTGTGTGGACTGACCTGGACAGAGTGACTTGGAACAGCGGCGCACTCGAGCAGTGCTTCAGTCCAGGTTCCTCAATATTCCTGTACATCCCGTGACAACAGCACAGAGGCCTACAGGTCCTTACATGCACCGAGGATGAGCACAGAGACTGTACGACTTGTTGACATCAAGTTGTGAGGTCCGACAAGGCGGCATCGCCAACACACACAGAGTCCGTCCATCCCGGCTCAGATGTAAATACAGCCATCGAGATCAAGCCGATACTAGAATAACGTCCGTCAATATGCACCCACCGTATCACCTTACCAATCTTTTCTGCATAACAATGGGGAAAAGTATCCCAGGTCAGCCCTTTGCCTTTCACACATCCGCCAGGGTACTTGTCACACCGACCACGGGCTAAAAAAGTGCCACTTTGTTTACGCAGACCTCATATCTTTTGTCTTCAGAAAAACAGAGTCAGTGAAATACATTAGAATGTGTAGAACCGTGTACAATAATCCTGACAGGGTTTTGCTTACGGTGAGGATGACGTTCTTGAATTATTGACAGTAGTGATATAATCCGTACTCTTGTTACAACATAAACTTAGGCATGTGTACAATGAAAGCGTATCCTGGACAAATTTTACAAGTAACTCAAGCTCAGACTTTGAAGTCATGATCTGAGCCTGCAAAAGCATCCTTTCAACTGACTGTATTATACCAAGTGACCTGTCACACCTAACCCATTCATATAATTGTTATAGTTATAATTATAAACCAATTTAGAGCTTTTGTGTGCACTGAGTGGACAAGTCAATGCCCGCACACATGTACATACACAATGCAGTACTGCTACTTGCCAAAAGGTGGCACTCCAGTACTGCTTGACTTATTGGTGCTACGTAGCTGTACAAGTACAAGAATACACAAAATATTTCTTCAAAGCACAGATAACCTAAGTGTACTGTATCCTCTAGATCCAGGGGAGTCTAACCATTCCCAATTACACGTTTGACAAGAAAAATCTCGAAACAAAATGAAGGCACACTATTGCAATGATGAAAAAAAAAAAGTGTACATGCAGCATACATTGTACTCTTGTCAAGTATTTCTCTATTTGTTAGATTATTTAGCACCTACATTTTGTTAATTACATTATCAGGATGACAAATTTTTCATTTGAATATGAGGATTAAATGAAAAACTAGAAAATGTTAATGGCATTTTTTTCCAATTTTTTTGTGGTGACATGCTTCAAAACAGTAGGGAATCTCCCTAGACCCTCTACAGATGAATGAATGCGCAATTAAAAACTCATTAATGTAAGACAACCATTGAAGCATATAGTATTCGCTTCCTCAATCCAACACAGGAGACTAGTTTTACATCTAATTTTACAAATAAAAGGTGGGCAAGGCTAAGAAAAAAATATGTTCTCTAGTACCCACGAAAGCACATAAGACCATACAGGCAAACATGTACTACTAGCTTTCATTTTTTGCAAACTAATTGAATGACAAGAAATTAGACAAAGATCCAATACAATCATAGCCAGAATATAGAACATATATCTGACATATTACAAATAGCAGTCCTTAGTTTGCCTGTTTCATATGTCACGCCCATACCGTAACTTCTACCAATAGGCATAGCATATTTTCATAGGGGCTATGACAATAGAGTATCTTAAAAGAGGGTATTAAATTTCCATGGCCCATAAGGTGATGAGATTAATTAATGTATCGAATGGTGATGTCATTCCCTGTCTGTGCGTCTGTGTGCGGTAGGTATTAATTGGAACGATGCCTCGTTGGTCTCCTGGTTAATGAGTCCCTCACACCGGATGGTCTCACACGGGGGTTAGGGGGAGTGCAGGTATAATTAAGCCCGATGGGGCATGCTGGTCTCACCCTGACGTCGAATCAACAGAAATGCTGGGGCCCACTTGGTACAGCTTTCGGATCACCACCCTCTGGGGCCCAGAGCCCAGTTTCAATGTGGGCCCTCTTGCAAGAAGGATAGAGAGAAAGAATGGAATGGGTTAGGGAGGAAAGTCATATAACGTTACAGGCAGAAAAAAAATAATAAAACACAAGAGATAAGGCAACAATAGTCAGACTTGTAGATAGTAAGATAGTGATACAATGAAATGTCTTTTTCCCCATTGGTATGATACATAACAGTGTATCTAATCAAATTCAATACACTATCCCAAACCCAATACATAAATATGCACATACATCTACATTAGGATCATCAAACTCTAAGCTTCATACATACACATGTAGCTTCATATCTCCATAAGATGTTGCTATACATGTATATCCTTGATTGTGATGTTATAGTCAGAAATAGTAAATGTTATTAACAAGAAGACAGGTTTATTTGAAGTCAAGAAAGTGCCACCATGCTTGTATTATTATCTATATGTTGTTATTTCACAAGGGTATCAATATTATGGTAAATGACATCTATTAATTGTGTGCTTTGTAATGAGACAGAAACATAGACAATGGAAGAATGTTTTGTGTACCACACATGTACAGTAATATATGGTTTATACTTCATGTGTCAGTTTCTGTACTCTTCTTTACAACTGAGTCAACTTTCTTTTAGAACTAAAATCAGTATCACTGATTTCCTCATATAACATTGGCTAGATATGCAAAAACTAGGGTTTCAATCCTGAAAGAAACTGTCATACAGCCACCTACATTTATATACATGTAAGTACATGTACCAAGAAGCAAGATGAAGTCGGAAGTACATTTTTTTGTATTTTTTATACTAGACATTTATATAGTTATATATCTATATGCATTATACAAGACCTCAGAATTATTTGGCCCAGTGGGCCAAAATTTACAACAAAGATCTTCATTCATTGAATGATTTGTATGGATTCTGTATCTGCTTGAAGATAAACATGGTAGCCAGGCATTAGGCAGTAATGGAGTAACCAGAGGTTTGGCAGGAGGTATTGTTTCAATTAAGCCTGTTTTAATAACCCAGTTGCTGCCAGTGTTTGTTGATACAGATTACCAAGCTGTCAAAACATGAGACCACATGGTGCTGTCACCACAGGCTGCCATTAGCCTCTTATCAGCCATCACATGTGCTAATGATGGGGCCTTTTTACACCAGACATGGGGGGATGAAAGGCTGGGTCACTGTGAGGTCAGCTGTGTGTCATCACCTGTTGCCACCAACTGTGGCTCCCTGTCATTCCTAGCCTCAGCTTTAATAGGAGAAGATGGCAAAACTAGCTAGCTACTGCAAATCTTGAACCGTCTGCAGGGATTTCCTTTTCTTACAATGATGACAAAATTACTGTTTTCATAGAAAAACAATTGTGCACTGTGAATATGCATTACTGCTGTACTATGGAACAGTTTAAACCGATACTGTTTTATAAAATAACCAGTCTGAATTTGTTTTATCATCTCAATTTTGTTTCACATTGTATCATGTCAAATAGGCGCAACAATCCTAGAGGGTTCAAAACTTACCCTCTGAAATGCTTACAATGCTGTTTCCTGCATTTTGAGGGGCAAATTTTGCTAGCAGACTATTAAAGCTTAGTTAAATGACATCTCTATCCATCTTTACACACCTATTTTTGCCTGTTAAAGATGATGCATTGGACAACATTTTCGTTTGTCACGATCGGCAAAATTCCATCAAATGGTGGAAAGACAGACGCTGGCTAGAACACTGGTTTTTAACCATGTCAACACAGGGAAAACCTCTGCCTTTCCTTCCTGTCATGAAATACCCAAGAGACATATGAAGTTACAGTATGCACAGGACCTTTCCTGTTCACAAACTACAGGTGGCTACAGAAGATGCTCTACTGTCATTACTAACTATCAGTTGCTGACAAGGATCACCAGAGTTGAGTGAGGACGAATCTTATCCCAGTTTAAACCTTCAGATCATCCTGGGACTCATCACTTCCAGAAGGATGGACTGTGGTAAATGCATTCTGCACAGGGATTAAATAGTCATGCACCAGCGGGGTTTGAACCCCTAACCTCTGGGTCAGAAGTCCTGTTATCTGACCCATCACAGCTGGGTGCTGACAGAACAGTGAGTGAAAAGTGCTAATGATGGCAAGACTTAATCTCCAAGCAGATGTTTGGGGTAGATAAGAACAAACACATGTAAACAAGGACAGCAGATATATAACTGTCACATTTTCTTACTGGCTAGCTTCTAAACTGTGACTGCATTTTGTAAATTCTTACCTTTGTCTATCTATACCATGTCTATACCATGGCCTACAATGTACATTTATCTTCAAACAGTAACCAGTCCTCTATTGTTACTCTTACGCTTGGACTTATTTTTTACGTGTTTCAGACATTTTATCAGGCTTTCTTTTTTGGATTTTTTTCTTTTTACGCTAGATAAAAATGACTAAAACACGTCAAAAATAAGCCGAAGTCCAAACCTCTGCTTGGAGAGTACAGTATGCTGACTTGCGCTTACATTTGAGGTATAATATGAGACTTCTGCATTGGTGGGGGTAGCGAAAAAAAAAAAAACACGGCCATATATAAAAAGCTAACGATCATTCCCCCACAACCTCTGCTTGGAGACTACCGGGTGTAGGTAGAATACATTTCCTACGCAGTATGGGGGTGTAACTGCCTCCGAATTCCCCTGCTTCTAATTTCCGTGCACAGTCAGGCTCTGATGCAGTGTTCTCCCCCAAGCTGTGCTGCCATCATTAAACTCACTTCTCCACCAAAATACTCCCAGTCCCGACAGCAATTAGAACTTATCTGCTGCAGCCCAAGCAGGAATATGCTTATTTACCACACTCAAACTATAAAGGACAATTTTGGAAGATGTATTCAGAAATAATCAGATGCCATCATAGTACTGATGAGGACGAGGAAGTTACTGTAATTCACTTTATGTTCACATAGTACAGTAGCAAAAGTTCACGATCTGATGAGAAAAATGGAGGTGTTTACGGAACTATATGTTTACAGTGGCGATTATAGGTGGAGAAAAAAGAAAGTAGGCAAATCATCTTTTAATTGTAATGATAAGTTTGCGGTACAGAAATGACCCAAAAAAAAACGTGAACATACAAAAGTACTGCAAAAATTATCTCTTTTTTGTCTTTGGAACAGACCCAATATAGCTCTTACAAGGTCCAGTGATTGACTACATCTTCGACTGTTGGAATGCTCCTTAGTTTATATACGTGTACATGTTGTCGTCCTATCTTCCAAATCTATGTAAATTCAGTGGGGATCCAACAGCTACGCGTGATTCACCGCCATACATTACGCTCAACTCCCTTCCCAATAGCTATCTGATGAATCCATAAATTTTTCCACAGAAGAAGTTTGAGACATAAAGCCCTGCCTGGACAGCGTCATTATTTCTACTTGGGAATTGCTCAAAGCCAACCTTTGGGGCATTATACTCTGTGGACGGCGTAAAGACCACATTTCCCGTCTTGATGTTTCAGTCCTAATTATCTGGCAGTCCTGGAAGATCAGCACATACTGAGATAAACACAGCCTTTATGCAAGCAAAGACGCTGTCACAGACCGGGGCTCAGTGCCGTGACGTACATGTAAAGCAGCTTCCTGCTGGGGCACAGAATAAGGCAGGAAAAGGTTTTCAACAGTTGTTAATGATACTGGCACTGACCTTATCCCACCTAACTTTTCACCAAGCTTGAAAGCAACTTCCTGGCCATGGATGACATATTGTAAAGTCATGATCCAGAATGCTTCGTGAGAATGACTGTCAGCGACCTCAAAATGTAAATATGGAGTCATACTGTAGTGTTCAGAGGTGGTTTTTAGCATGTATAACAGTACGCCACAGGGCTATGATGCTGTACATGCGTTATGTATTTAACATTTTAATAAACCAGTTCATCTCATCTCAAGAGAATTAGCGAGTTGAGCATAGAGACTAACCAGATGGAAGTTCTTAAAACGAAGTTATCTCAGGGCTCAAAATTCATTTTTGGGGCATCTTGTTGGGTGCACAAAAAATATTTTGGGTGCACCATATAAAACAAAACCTAATTACAGATCTTACTGCTCCTCTTCTGAGGTTGAATCTGAAATGGGAGCTAACTTCAAAATCTTAAACAAGTCCTTCAAAGATTTTATTATTTTCTGACACTTAGACGCCAACAATATCCTGCATACTATTATACAGTTGATATGTACAAAAATACCTACAAAAAACTGGGTGCACAGCTCCAATTTTGGGTGCACTAAGGTGCACATGCACCCTGTATTTCGAGCCCAGTATCTTGTAAAAGGGCAGAATGGATGTTAAAATATCCATCTACTTTTCTTCCTCGAAACCAAATGCCCTTACTTAGCTCTTTTTCTTGTGTCTGTTATGGCATAGTAAGTGTTAAAGACATTATTCAATTTTTCATGGCTTTTAACCAGTGTCTGAGTTGAAGACCACCAAAGTTGACAGGCATAAAAGTAAGCTTTACTTCAATCTAGTTATACATGCCATTGTCAACATGTTTACCAGAATAAGAATAGGCAGTCTAGATCTGCAGGGTCAGGCACAAGAAATATTAAAAGGTGCTGTTCCAAAACATCAGTGTTAAATTACTTAAAAGAAACAGTACATTGTAATGGGGATAGGGTTTGTACACAAAAACAAGATGTGTTCAAAGTTCCTTCTAAGCCCCAGTGTGGGTCAACAGGAGGTTTAAGTGTGTTTAAGAGCCAGGTAACATTACACCGGGATGTTCTAAAGAGGCTGACGCTCCTGGCCCTTTCACATGATATCAGTCATTACACGAGTCAATTGTCCCCACACAATGGCACACAGAATGGCGTACTTACGGCCTGGCACACCCACTTTACAAACCATAACACTGCGTTTTCCAACAAGCTCTGACCTGCCAGAAAGAGGTGTCAGCTCGGAAACCTCATTTCGACCAATCGTGGTAGCTCCAACCAAATTGGAGGTTTCTAATCAAAGCCCCCAAAAGCTGTATTGC